AACCCCAAACCCTACACCTGTTTCACTGCCGCCTTGGCCTGACAGCTGCTTGCGGCTCTCCGCCATGAGGTCAGCAGCTTCACGTTGTGAGCATTGGTTCCCCTTCGTTTTTGGGGAGGTTGTGTAAGGTTATATAGGGTTATAAGTATAATGGTGTATATAGGGTTATATGGGGCTATATAGGGTTTAGGGCTTGTTGAGTGGGTGTCTGCAATATCCACTTCCTAATACTTCCGGAAGCCGTCTGCGTCCCAGAATTCGTCATAATTTTCAATGCCGAGGCTTGGACGGGACAATGCATTAGCACAGCTTTTGCGATCCGGTCTTCAGGTGTTTAGGGGAGCCTTGCGGGGAAGGGTGAAGCTGATGACTCACTGCTTGCATGAAGAGTTCCCTTTACCAGCCCCCCATGATAAGGTTCCGCATAAAGGCTAACTAAAGCTAATCAGGGGGAAACTTGGACGGGACTATGGGGGGGGTGGTTAGGGAAGCTAATATTGCCAATTGCAGCACGGCTAATTTCAGCCGGAGCACCTACTGCTACAACGCAGCTGACAGCCGAAATATCCATGTTGTGCGTGCGGCCTGCATGCAACAACAGCCTTGGCACGAGTGTTTCGCCTTGCTGCATGCGCAATTCGACACACCTCAAATTGGAGGCATCTCAAAATGGACTAACCCTGAGGCCCTAAGGGGGTGGATAAGGATTCTATAGAACAACTTTGAGAAACTCTCAGTTCTTGGTGCCCGCGAACCGCACTGGAACACACAAAATTTGCTTTCGCCTAAACTTAAGTTCCAAGTGCTCAAGCAAATTGAAAATTGAGTGCAAACACCATTCATGTTATCGCATTTGGTGCCTGAAGCCCTGGTCGTACATGGACTTTCTAGCCACAAACTACGATGAGGCACTCAACCCCGAAGGATCGTTTTCTTCGGTAAGCGCTTTCGCCTACTGGCTTGTCATACCTCGTGCCAAATAGCGATTGGCGACTGAAGGTTCAAGAGACGAAAACTTACAAGAAACATACGGATTCCAAGCTACAATGCCTTGAAACACAAGATCGCTGCAAATGTTTTTAATTAAAAACATCTGACGCGTCCTGTTGGGCCCTAAGCCCTCATAAACACTTGAAGCCCAAAACCCTAACGTGAGCTGTAGTCTAAACTCCTAGTATCCCTCTTAATAACCCCTATAGTAGTCCCATATATAATCCCCTATATAACCCCCTTTAAGGAGTTTAGATTATGTCTCACGTGGCTATAGCTGTAGTCTCCTTAGACCTGTAATATGAATACTTTTTTAGTACTTCCTTAGGGTGACAACTAAAATAAGCATAGATAATAATTCCTGAGGAGACTACAAATAGAGTCCTACCCAAGCAAATCGAAACATGTTTTATCACAACCTAAACCCTAAACCCTAGATAGTAGTTTCCGTTCTGTTTTCTATTACCCCACTATAACCCCCCAAATAACCCCCATATAACCACATTTTTCATCACAACTCGCTGTTGCTGTCAGCCAGCTGCGCGGGATCCCATCCTTTCAGGAGGCAGTCTGGCGTGAATCAAGCCACCGGTTTCAGAACTTGGGTTTTGTGGTTTAGGGTTTAGGGTTTAGGGCTTTAGTATAGGGTTTAGGGTTTTTGGGAGGGTGGGGTTTATATAGGGTCTGTTTTTTGGGGTTTAGGGGTTTAGGGTTTCAGGAGGTTTGGTTTCATGTAGGGTGTAGGGTTTACGTTTTTTTTTGTGTTTAGTGGTTTGTGGTTTCGGGAGTTTTGGGTTTATATAGGGTTTAGGGTGTGTTGTTTTGGTTTAGGTGTCTGGGGTTTTAGGAGTTTCGGGTTTGTATAGGGCTTGGGGTTTCCAAGGACTAATGTAGGTATGGTTTGTACCCTAAACCCTATAAACCCAAACCCTGTATAGCTTGATCCTTAGGGTTTGTTTTGGAGGTTAATGTAAGGAGGGCTGCGAACGCTTGCACAGGTTTTTGCGCAGGTCGTGGCCGAAGTTGAGCCGGATTGAAAACCCAATAAACCCCCTCATACGAATCTTAAACACACTGTTAGATATTTTCCATCAGAGACGTAATGTGTTGGGTGGGATATATCTAATATTGAAAAGGGCGGGTGACTGAAGGACTACCTTTCCAGCGAAGTTACTAACGGGGTTCAAGATGCATGTCATGGGTTGGTGCAGGTTGGTTCCATGTAATCACCTTCTGATGAACCCACCCCACCTTTAACCCTTATGACCATGATTATATTCAGGTTCTAGTAGGGGATCCTAGTGGCAGGGGAGTCTTGGTGTAAATCTTTCTTGGTATGCGAGGCGTGAGCATGTATCTACCCTACCCGATTACTGCAAGTGTCCAGTCTTTACAGACAGTTCATGCATGATATAAACCCTAAACCCTAAACCCTAAACCGAGTACGCTGCCGTATGGAGGTTTCCGATTTTTTGGGAGTCCTTGCGAGGCTTCATAAAAATAAGAGTTATTTAGAATTCAGGTGTATACACAGGGGACCCGATCATTTGGAGTTAGCTATATGACGCCCAAAGTCTGTGAATACTACCTATATTGGAATATTTGGATCCCTGGGGAAACATTCAAAACTCGTCCGAGCTCCTGAACCCTTGGATTGCACACCTGTTGTACTATACTATATTACAATACAATATACTATAATATAATATACTATCATATACTACAATATACTATAATGTACTTATATATAATAAGCCCATAAAATATGTAATATACTATGATATTCTAGAATAACCCCATGACATACCCCTGAACCCCTGGATTGCGCGCCTGCGGTACGCATTCGCTGCCTCTTGGCTGCAGTGATGGCTCCCGAGATAGCAAGCCTTAGGATTCCAGCGTTTGTATATGATAATGTATTATGGGGTTATTATCAGTATATTATATTATGTTATAGTAGATTATGCGACACTAGAGTATACTTATAGTATACCAGGGGTTATTACAATATATTATGGGGTTATCATAGTGTAATGCAACGGGTTCCAATAGCAGCCCGTTGAATTATCACGAGTTCCATTTTGTTTACCCTTTCTTCCATGCTAGAAGCTAACGAATCTTATGGGCACGCGGATAGCCCCTATGCGCATTCAAGGTGTCGTTACTTGCCACACCTTGGAGGAAGTGCCTGGCCGGCAACACAGCATAATGACAATTGCGGCCATTGTCGGCACAAACAACTGGACATCCCGCACCCGGCTCTCATACGATTGTATCACCCCTCCTGAACAATCTGCAACAAATGGTCCTGAAGGAAAGTCTTGGAAAAAATCCACTCGTGGGTCCATTTCCCCATGCACCTTCAGAATAGCAAGGAGAGTCGGATAACCCATTCTGTTCCATAACACTACAACTGTCGTCATATGGTGACTCTAACTCAAGGAGGTCCCAACGTCGGGGAATTCAGGTTAGAAAAATCTCCTATGACATGGAAAGCCCAGTCACCAGCCCATGACTTCAGCCGTCGAGCTCCCAACAATAAGGATGCATCATCTTCCGGGCATGTTCTAGCCTGCAATGCGGCTCGCATGAGCAACACAAATGCTTCTTGGGATTGCATGGGACACCTTACACCATGAATGATTGTACTGCACATGTCCTGCAAAAGCGAGCCTTGGAAAGTTCTTCAGTATGCTACACAAAAGGGCTCACGAGCTAGGTTACGTATCGTGATGTGACGAATGAGAACTATCACATTCTTGTAATGCGTCATGAAGTCTCTTCATATCTGTGACTCTGTGACAGAAACCACTACGGAAATTGCAACCGAATTTGCCGTGGACAAATTCCAACTCTTTATGGCGCCTTTAGAAAGTCGCAGCAGTGAGACATCAGAAGACGTTGAAAGCCAGCTTGGGTACTCCCAGTTTTGACAGTCAATCTTGCGAATTCCAATCAGTCAGTATTCCTTCAATGCGCGAGGTATGCAAATGTTGCATGAAACACGAACTACAAATTACAACTTTGTGTCATTTTACTGTCTTGTAAGGCAGTTGCAAAAGTTGTTACTGTGACGCCTACTGCAACTCGTTGGTAAATCCACCTGAAGTCCGAGCTCTTGGCATGGGTGGTTGAGCCATGCACCTCCGGATCATAGGCGGGCGGTTGAAGATGGATAAGTCTGTCAGAAAGGACAGGAACAAAAACCGATGAGAGTTTGCGTAATGCCTGAGGTTTAGAAGCCCCCGTGGCGGCACCACACAACAACAAGCAACCACGTTTGACACTCGTGTTAGCTAATGCCGCGTTTGAGGCAAAACATGCTTGCACATTTTTCAAACTGAAGACCAAGAGTTGCAAGGTACAGCTGAGGAATGCTGAGGAGGGTGCCACGGGGACAAGGCGGCAATCTTGGCCAACCTCCCAAATCATTACCTGGGTGAAAACATGCTATGGCTTGCATTGCAACAGCGGCACGCTCTGAGCCCGAAGCAACATGCCAGGGTTGCACAACTGCACTCGCTGCGCAGAATGTGTACAGTTTTTCTCACACTGATGACACCGTGAGACTACCGTGGGCAACAAAAACTCCATGAAACAACTCCTTGCTGGCAAAATGCACCGCCCAGCTCCCGCTCCAACGCGTAAGCGGTTTTGCTCCGGATAGTGTCTACCTAGAAGTACGTGGCAACAAAGCGCACGCAATCAAAACTAGAATCCGCGCATGAAGAAGCTGCTTGGAAGGTTTGCATGCATCTATGTTAACAGCAAAGCTGAGCTGGCAACACCGTTGAAGCCAATGGACGAACCTATTTACTGCAACGAAGGATGACAAAAGAAACTGTGACACGAAATTGAACTAACTGCGTCGCATAATGACTGTCTAGCCTTGGTCAACCGCTCCAACGGAATCCAGGTCTGGTTTCAAAGGCCAATGCTTCTGCACCTGACATCTTGACAAGCTTACAACATAATTGCCACAACCTAATTCGGCCAGGTCGTGCACTAAATCCTCGTATGTAGTCCACTCGCCGTTGCGACTATGGCGGCCTTGCGAAACCAAAGCTGCTAAAACAAACAAGTTTGCAACTGCAAGGCGCTGGCCATAAAACGGAACGCCCATTGTCAGCTGGCGTGCTGGCAAAATGTTCTTCCTGGGTGGCGTGCCGACATGATCATGCTCAAAAGCCAGCCTGCAAAAGAACTACGACTGCACAATCCTAAAAACGGAGCAATCTTCCGATTATGATTCCTTTGAGGTTCGCCAGTTGGCTCGTAAAATGTGTGCACTTGGGAATCTGCCTTCAATATAACCTCTGCATGTAGCAATCCTAACTTTCAACGGGCCGCCCTTGATCCGCGCTCTTCCTCCCATACTCCAGCGTGCTGTGGTGCCCGCCACCTGCTGCCAATTTTTNNCCCCCCCCCCCCCCCCCAAAGTCTTGGCTCATTGCAACATGTCACCATTGAAGCCGGAAATCGCTGCTGAAAAAAAAAGAGATGTGCCTTGGTCATAGCTCATCATGTGCATGAGGTCCACCACCCTGACATGTGTTAGGTCTTGACATCTGCTGCGTACAGTGATGCACATTACCACAGCAAACTGCAAGGGCCGGGCTCTGCTAAGCCTGCATCAACCACGGCTCTCTTTGCAAAATAATCACAGCATGGTAAGAACCTGAAAATGAGAAGGTTTAATGACAACCCGGAGCATATGTAAAAGGAAGGTGCGCGCCGTATTCTTTCAGTAGCTGCTCTTGCCGACCGTCAGGGTAATAGGCCAAGGTAATGACCTCGGCAACGCGTTCAAGTGAGCTACATACGTCGATATAAACTCCCAGGTATCCCCCTTAATCCCTGATTATACGACTCCCCTGATAATCCCCTATGTATTATGTAACCCCTTTTAGACCAGCACGTGTGTGAAACTCGCAGGGCCTTCGAAGTCCAGCCGCGCTTTGCATACATCTCTCGAGTGGCAAACCTGGGGCAGGCCATGTTGCAACGCACAAGTCAATACACACGACGAATCGAGCTCGAATATGAAAGGCGTATCGTCATACGCCAGACTGTGGCAAAAACTGAGGCAACAACACAAGTTTGGACAAGCCCCTGTAATCTGACGCAACCTGCGCCAAGCTTTCATCTCTGCCCTCCAACAACAGAGACGCGGCCTCCGATTCAGAGAGGTATCCCTGCCCAAAGCCTGCATGGAACAAAAGTGGTTAGGATCGTCGGATGGTCGTCAAGCGTTGTACTTGGGGGCTGGGGTCATCAAGCAATCCTTCTTGGTTGCAGCAGAATGGCGATAGCCCGGATACTCCCAGTTGTAGTCTACCTTAGCTGGACATGTACGTTGTAGACACCAATGGGAAGCGCACGAGCAAAAGGTGCCATCACACCAAAACAAGGCTGTAGAGTTACAGCACAATTTGGATGGATACCTCTTGGGCAGGAAATCTTGACTGGCAACCTGATTCACAGCATATTCGCATGCGCACTCGAATCTGAGAGGTCCACGCCGTCCAGATCATGTTTCTCGATGAAATTGCCGAGCTCCTTCTGCAACAGCAAAAAAATCTTCAGTCCTAAGCCCTAAAGCCCCTCAACCCTAAATTCTAAATCTTAAACCGCTAAATCCTAGATCCTAAGACCTAGTCCTAAACCATCAACCCGTCCTAGACCCTAAGCCCTGAACCCCAAAACCTTAAACCCGAAACC